AAATACATTTTCTAAACTGATTTGAATAAGGAAAGCAATGGATAACATTTCTGTATATTGAATAATATTTCAAAAATTGTCAGTGCATTGATATCTGAAAATGTTATACTGACAACTTTCCTCCTTTGTATGAAACTTATAATGAAAGCCCGATGTGACACATACTGCATAGTGTTTTGTATGCTTGTACGCGAATGAAGTAATTTAGAGTTATCCATAATCAATAAGCAACTGACATCACTGCCAATTGACCTAATTTGATGCAACGTTTGTGTACCTATAGAATTTTCAGAGGTATACCGAATTGGTTTTTCATAGAGGTGTGAATGCATCAGAGTGCAAAGCCTATCAAGTATTAACAGTATTATTTGAACTCCTGATGAGTACCCACCTACTGGTTTCATCATTGAGGTTCAAAATGTCATGAACAATTTTCCTACATCAGAACAAAAATATTGTCTCTTGACGCGCGTTTTGCTAACAAATTGTTGACACCATCGGGAGATGACAGTGTTAGCAGAAACCACCTGATGATGATACCTTCTTTAACAAAACACGCGTCGAGAGTCAGAATTTTTGTTCTGGCGTAGAAAAGTGTTTTTAACAGATTCATTCTGCGTCAGATGTTTCAACAACTAACAGGGGTTATGTTTGAAGTCAAAGTTCCATTTCTAATTTTGTTTCTCCCATGATTCATCAACTTATTCCAACTATCCCTGTTTTTGTTTTCAGATAAATAAATACATTCATCATAAGAGTCTTTTTTCGTTTGCTCTATACACTTTCGATATTTTCTCCTGAAAACTTTATGAGCCTGTTCATCCTTGTCAGACTCAGTTGTATCTCTGATAATTTTCAGAGACGATAAAGTATTACGCATTTTTTCAAGTATTCATTGACGAATTTCTTCGAAGGTTTTTTTTCAACCTTTTCAACCATAGGAAAATGTTTATCACAAAAATTAACTGAAATGTTCAGAAAGTATTATCCGAAAGAATCAATATCAGTTGTGATATCGTATTTGAAAAAGAATCCCAATTAATTAGCTGAAATTCCCGTTTGAACTTGATCGATGCTAATGTTGGGAATTTGCGTCTGAGAACCCTCTTTGAGCATTTAGAGTTTTCTCCAAGAACTTTTATGAATTGCCCCCTATGATATGACAGGCCTGTCTCAACTGTACCAACTTCATAAAATGTACCATCAACATTCGTAAGAATATTGTCAATACATGTCTTATTTTTCGTTCTTTGATCACATCTTGTATAATCACTTATTGTTACTTTGAGACCAAACGAGCTGATAATTTGTGACATATCTATTAGATCGGACCCATTGCCATTGAAGTTAATATTGAAATCGCCCATCAAAAATATATTTTTATATTTGTCCAATAATATCTCTGGTAGGTCTCTCAAATAATGTAGAAAAATATTCAAATCACCATATTTAGATGATCTATATACAGCAATTATAGCACAATTCATATGATAGGTCATATGTTACAAAATTCTGCATGAAATTTGCAACTGAAATTACTCACGTCAATAAGTTTGTTTACGATGTTTTCTCCAACAAATATAGCTACTCCACCATTCAACCCAGTTTTTCTACAAAAACTAGTTGCAAGACAATAATATTGAAGGTTAACCAATTTTAAATAGATCTCAGTCAGCCAATGCTCACTAAAACACAGAACTGAATACTTGTTATCACTTAAAAATAAAAGAATCTCATCAGTTCGGACTTCCATTGTCTAATATAATATAAATTGATTTGAAATTCCTGAAAAAATATTAAAAGATCAACAGAAAATAACAATTTTATTCGAACAAAAATACTGAAATTACAAAGAAATAACATAAAACCAAACAACAACCAAAAAATTAAAATTGAAATATTAATAAAAGCAGAAAATTGAAAGTTATCAATAACAAAAAATTGAAAATAGAAATAAAAATCAAAAGATTTCAAACCAAGTTGTCACGACGTTTCGATTGTTAGTATCCACAATCGTTTTCGGGTGATAACTCATCAATTTTTTTCGCAATACTTTGAATATTGATATGCAGAATGTTCACCCAATTGTCACTTCTACAGGTCCTCTCTGAGTGAGACTCGTCCTGATATATAATTACAGCTGCTGGTGGACTATTTTCTTTGAAAACGTGCAAAACCTGATCGGGTCGCTAGTACTCAATATACCAATAAATTTATTGAAACGTGATAATTAATTCTCATGCAAGAGAATGTCTTTATTTTTCCGAGGAAAATGCATAGTGAGTGTATGTTTATGTTGAGAATATCTGGGCGGAATCTGATCCTATTACGATCATATAATATGATTTTCGTCTGCATATACTCAACTAAGCGATCGTCAACTAATTTGTGCAACATTTTTCAATTTTAAGTATATAAACAAATTTCATTGAACTAAATAGGTGATTTTTTCAAGAAGGATGGGTTTGTGAAAAAATCATATACCTAGGCTTTCTACTTCTCCAGCTAAACGTGGCAAATATTCGAACGAAGGAAGAATAAATCAAGTACTCATTTGAAATTTATTTCCAGATATATGTATTGGTTATACTCATTTTTGCATTTTTCATCACAGTAACATGAATATTTTTCAACTCTCATCCTCAACAGTTTTTCTAGGGGACACGAGAAGACATTATTGAAGGTTTCTTCAGATATGTGATGGAATTGGTCGCTACTTGATGAAAATACACAATTCATTCGAATAACTCTTTTCTGTGAGATTTTCACTGGTCAGTTTACTAAACTGCAATTCATGAAAATGTTCCATCAGCTCATTAAAGTGCATTTCCGTTGCCTTTCTGCATTTTATTTATCTTATTCTAGTATCTGAATGTTGCCATGTAACACAGTAACATGTGCTAAATGTAGTTATATAGGCTTGATGATAACCATACAATGTAATTTTTGTCTGAAAGGTAATAAAGTAGTTTTATTATTAGTATTATTATATGCACAGAGCTTTATATTGTTTGAGCTTCATATAATTTGAGCTTTATATAAAAAAATCATGAAAGAAAAGGATATATAATAAATTAATCACCAATTTTCATATAAGAAAACCGATTCTAAAGAGAATAATTCAGTTCTATAGCGTCATTCTGTACATTTTCAAAATTCTCAAATCTATCAATTCCTAAGCACTCTAAAAGATTGAGTTATATACAGGGCTATTCAAATTCGTTTCTGTACATGGGGATCTCGTAAACGATAAGATATAGAGTGTCGCTTGTATTGTAGCAAAGTTGCGTATTTTAGAGACCTATTCAATAATGTGAAAAAATCTGGAGCTATACGGGAAAATCCAAAACCTCCCAAATAATTTTTTTGCCTATATCTTCTTTATTCGCAGACATATGGAAAATCTGTCCACATTTTGCTACTGGAACTTGATGTGGTCTATCAGAATATGTCCCTAAATCTTTTATGTAGGGTGTCATCTGACTTGGGCCACCCCCATCTTTGACTTTTTAAATACGGACCTGTATTTTTGTTGTAGTTTTTGGATCGTAGACGTTCACTTCATACTGAGAAAATAAATTTTATTTTATATTTCGGGATGTTTGAGTTGTATTTGTTATAATTGGGTGAATTATTCCCTTTTAAATTACGGCCCTGGAAATTGGTTGACTGAGTTAAATAAAAACAACAAAAAAATAATTTGGGATTTTTTGGTTTTTCCTGTATATCTCCAGAACCAAAAGAGCAATATTCGCTTTTTTCACATCATTGAATAGGTCTCTGAAATACGTAACTTTGCCACGATTTAACTCACACTCTATCTCTTATCGTTTACGAGATCCCCATGTACAGAAACGAATTTGAATAGCCCTGTATATAACATTTGAAAGAAAAAGGATTGAAACTCTAATCTTTTGGAGTAATTAGAAATTTAAATTTTGTATACTTTTTTGGGTTTATTATCTTTCATAATCTTAAAAAATGAAAGCTAAATGAATAGAGAATCTGCTGAAGTGTAATGAAGGGCTGTAATTTGGAAAGTTCACCCCATAAAGTTACTGCGTAATATAAAATACTGCAAAGTCCAATTAGTCAGTAACTTGTCATATTCATAACACATGACACGAGTTCTAATTTCTTTTGACACAAGTCAAAAAAAGAAATTATTATTCTGACACAAGTTAAAAGCAATTATCACTATCACAGTTTGGGGCGAGATTTTTATAGTGAATTTCAGGTTTCGAAAACAGAAAAGGATTGTTTTCCAAAACGTCCACCACTTAAGAAAGCTAAGTATAAATATTTAATATTTTCATTTGATTTTTTCGATTTGTAGGCTGACTAATTGTACTTTTCAGTATTTTATATCACGCCGTAAATTTTCGGATTAAACTTTTCAGTTTACCCTTTACTACACTCTAGCTTATTCTCTATTAACTATGCTTCGATTTTGTCAGACTGGTGAAGGTTATAAACAAAAAAAAAACAATATTGAATATTGATATATTTGTGAATTCTGAAAAACTACTGAATGATCAACTAGAATTGAATTCTTCTCCTTTTCTGAATCTGTTTCCTACTGTGGAAATTGGTAATTAGTTTATCACATGTCTATCACATTTTCCTAAATGATGTTGAAATTTTTGATCAAATTTCACAGGAACTCAGGTAGAAAGATCAGTCGTTAAGTAGGTAGGTCATATGATTCAAACTGTTATTGAATAGGGCACAAATTGGGTAGAATTTGGTTAGTGTGAAAACGCTTGAAGAAGCCGTTGCATAGCGAAACACCTATAATGGTTTTGTAAACTGTTCAGTGAAAATCTCATAATGAAGTGTTACTCGAAAGCTTTTTTTCAGGAAAGATATTTGATTGAATATTTTCCATGTGCGAACATGAGTACTTCGAAAAATACCTCACAGTGAAAATTATGTCGGAACCAAGTAAATCCCCTTCGGCTCTTTTCAGCAGTACTTAAAAGTAAACAAATATCACTCACCTGCAGAACGAGCGTCTGATTGCTGACGATGATGCCGGCAGTCCCGTTGCTGAGCAACCGCTCTCCATCTCGAAGCCACCATACGCGGTGCACCTGAAATCAGTTCCCTGTTCAATTAAAACGAAACATCTCCGTCGGCTATGCAAATGGAAATCGCAAATGTACGCTCGGAAATGACTTTCAGACGCAAGACATTATGCGGATGGCCTCGGTACAAAAGACAGGAAACAGGAAAGTCACAATATGCGTTGTAACATAGTTTTATACAGCATTTTTTTCATCTTTAAGTGAAAATCGAAGTCGAATCAACATAATCCAAGACATAAATGTAATCAAGTCTTGGTGCGACTCGAATCTTCTCTATTTTAATATAGAAAAAACAAATATAGTAACTTTCAAATGTACTCTAGAAAATGGAAAGATTTAAAATAAAGATTGCACAAAATTTTTGAGTCTTTATATTGACAGTAAATTCAAGTTTGAAGCACACGTTAACCAATTGAAGAATAAAATCTCCTTAGGGTGCTATGCAATGAGAATTATTTCAAAGGAAACTTGGTACTGCCACGGCTATGAACGCATATTATGCATTAATTGAATCTCAACTGAGATATGCCATTCCTTTCTGGGGTATGTCACTCTAGTCTGCTAGATTCAGAACTTGAACTGCATAAGAGAGGCATTAGATATGTGTTCAAACTAGGACCGCGCAATTCATGTAGGCAGTTATTTGCAGAGAAAAATATATTGACAGTGGTGGCTCTCTTTGTGATGGTAACTGCGTGTCTTATACACCAACATAGGTCAAAATTTCAATATATTTCTTCGTGTCATAGCACTCGCCAAAAATCTAAAAATAATTTTGAATTACCATTGCCTTCTTCATCCCTAGTAAAGGACTCCATTTTCTATAAATGTTGAAATGTATAACCACTTACCGTCTCATTTTAGAAATAGCCACGATAGTACCTATTATTGACAGCTTTTGAAAATACACAAAAAACCTCGCGAGCAGACCCTATTATAGTTTGCAAGAATTTCACAATGATAACTTCCAGTGAAATTGTGAACTGTCATCTGTCCTTTATTGCGGGTACTGTATAGGATACTCGATTAGATTGTTAAATTATAAGTTGTAAAATTGACAAAATGTTCAAATAACATTTTATGATTGATATTTTATTTATTTGTTGACACTTATTCTATTGAATACAATTCATAATTGATAAATGTATATATTTTATTTCTGTACGTGCATATTTTAATATGTCAACAAAACAAGAGTTTTTTGACAATAAAGTATATTTCGATTTGACATTTGCCTTTAATCCAACAACAAGAGAGGAAAATGTGCATAGCCTTTATAGACCTAGACAAGGCATTCAATTAAGTACCATGATGAAAATTATGGAATATTTCAGAAAAAAGAAAAATAAACAGTAAAGTTATCTAAATAATAAACACATTTACTAGGATAACATTACCTGTATCATAAGCAACAACAGAAAATGTGAAACTTTCTTAACACAGGAAGCATTAAGGCAAGGTGGAGTCCAGCATTATTCACAGTGTATTTAGACGAAATAATTAGGGAGTGTTCGACCAAAATGGAAAAGCTACATGTTGGGTATAGAAATCTATGAAGGGTAGACATCTCAGAAAAATCTTCTGCAAATGATACCGGAAATAACAAAATTCTACAAAAAAATGTAATGACAATAACTATAATCAAAACGAAAGTCATACCAATAGGTGAACAGGCAAATATAAATATACAACTGGAGTACTTAAATATTGAACAAGTGAAAACTCTTGAGAATTTGGGTGTAGATATAGATCACAATGGAAAAGAAGTGGATAAAATTGATACCTGGATAGAGAAAACAATTGAGCTTCATTGCACAATGAACAATACATTTATAAACAAAAGTTAATGTATTCAAGTCGATATAGAGACTGTTCTAACATTGCGTTGCGAGTCCTAGGTACTAATACAACGGCATAAGAAGAAATTACAGGCGTTAAAATGTAGGTGTCTTACATTAGTTAGAAGTGTCATGAAGAAAAAAATGAAAGACAAAACTTAGGGAAGACTTGGAAATGAAATCAGTGCTGAATTTAATCGAAACAAGGCTACTGAGTTGGTGAGGACAGATAATGACGAATACAAGATAGGTTAAAAACATCGGAAGCGAAAATGAATGAGAGAAAAAAAAGATAGACCTAAGCAAACATGGAACGGTATACTCTATGAGATACTGGAGATATGAGAAATAACATGGACGAAGGCGAAAATATAATAATGAGAAAGAATAAGGAAAATTCATACATAAAGATATGTACCACAAGAAGTATCGTTAAATGTTTGAACATATGACCCCACATTACATTGTGGCTATAGGGAATTTGATTCCACGTTCTGTTTACTCATTGTGCTTTATACTGTCTCTGCTCCATTGTATCAGCATATTGTACTGCAGATTATTTTATTGGCTGAGAGTAGCTTATAAACCATCTAATGGGAATGTAGATCATTTCAGTTATATCAAATTACCTTTGGAACATTCGAATGTTATTAGAATTGTCATTAACTTGACATATAATTATTGAGCAGGTGAATTCATGATAGAATTCGACTATTTTCTTTTCTCGAAATGAAATTGTCCACCGCAGAAATGATGAATATGTTCTAAATTTTGGATGGATATGATAGAAATTGTATATTAGCCAGTAGAATGTATACTGTTCGATATACTAACTCAAGGTATATACGACCAAATAGTTCGAAGGGTTATAGGAAGATTTGAGGAAACAGGCAGTGTCAAGCATGAGAAAAGACGTACTAAATACAATTGCAGTAAATGAAGGAAAATATTTAGCGCTGATGAGTTCAGCAGTTGAAAATCATCATGTACGTACGAGGGAAATTGCAACAGACTTGGATATAAGTCATACTTCCTTGAAGCATGTTCATCCATACTGAATGAACCTGTTTCATGATTTTTTATTTATAGTTCACTTTTAAATTGAAAAACAGTGCACTTTGTTTCATCTCTCTAAGTACCGTAGTTTTCCCGTAATTTATTATTGAAAATCGTATGTGGTAGGGTGGTGACGTCACGCCCCTATTCCCGCTTCTTGTTCGATTGACCAATAGGAACAATAGAAATAATCAACATTGCCAAATCGTAAAATTCAGGAAACCTATAATTATTAATTTAATTAATTGATTATGGGAGTGAATATGAACCCGTTAACGTTTTAATTAATGAAAAATTCTCCACATGGAATAAAATGTACACGAAAAATCATGTTTGCAAATAAGTTATATATCTAAAATCAGTACACAAAGTCGAAAGATCACAAAATATTTGCCTAAACTATGATTTTATGCATTATTTAATAATATACAGTTATGAAAATCAAAAAATATAGCAAACTGGATTGAAGAATCATTTCAAATATTGAATTTATTCTATCATCCTTAATCTGTACAACTGCAATTTATTATAAGAAAAAACGATTCCTACATACATACCTCTTTCTAATATAGCTACTAAATTCAAGCGTTATAGGCTCGCTTAGGTAATCTGTTGAATCTTCTAAAACTTGAGAAGAATACATTGTATCATACAACAATATATTGTATCAAGTATAGACAGAATTGATTGTACTCGAACTGATCCAACAAAAGATACTGGTATATTAGCCATATTGTCATCTAGTCAGCCAGCGCCCTCTGTAGTGTATGCGACAATGTGCTCTTTCTAATGTCAATGGTTTCCACAAATTTCGTATTTTTGTTAAAAAATAATTTCAAAATGGATGTTGAACCTAGTTTTGTTAAAGCTGACTTCCGACAACTTACCAAGAGTCGATTTTGAAATGATCGATAAATTTCACTTGAAAAATTTGCAATACTTTGATACCGAAATGCAGAATGAAAAATTGAAACAGTAGGTGGTATATTTAGTAGGCCCCTTTTATTCATATGACATTCATTTCAGACTTTGTCTTTTATCGGAGGATGGCAAGTTTTGATTTAATTTTTATTTAATCTTGGCCAAGGAGCAGTAAGGTGATTGAAAAGAGAAGCAAAAATATGTACAGTGAAATGTAGAACAGAACATATCAATCCAAAAATAACCTGAAAAAATATTTTTCGGAATGTAAACTAATGACACGGAAAATGCAGCAATCCTCTGACAGAAAGATTCAGAGGAAAGTTAAATGTTGCCATCGAATTTCCTCTAGATGGATTAGATATGAACAATTATACAGCAGATAATGTGACTCCTTTTCGCTATAATCTATATGCACTTTCGAATCACAGTGGGTCTACCTACAGCGGACATTATACAACATTCTGCAGACATCCTTATAATGGCACGTTGCACGAACACAAGTGTCATCAATTTCACCAAAATCGCTTGTGAGTGGAGATGTATACATCCTCTTTTATGAAAAGGAGGAAACGAGTTCGCACCTTTGAGCGTTTTGTAAAGTTATTTTTGAACTGTTCATTTTAATGTTATGTATAATCTAGTAATTTTCAGAACAATTCTCTACTGATTCGTAAGGACGAACATGTTCCACAGAATCTCCATAAGAACCATTTCTCAAGCTGCGATCGATCCTTCCAAGTGAAGAAGGGTTTCGTAGAGGGATCGATTCAGCTCATGCTTCATGAAGCTCTTCCACTGAAAGGGAACCAGAACTACGAGGACTGCAACTCATATTTGGGGGGCAAGAATGACCTAAGTCCATTGACCGCACTGAAAAAGAAGAAGGTGGATCAATCACTTGTGAATTAACCTTGATAGGCGACTGATGAATATCCACATATATCTCGGCTTGTTTCGAAGAGATTTCAGTTCCGTACTGAAATTAGGGCAATGCATGATCTCATCAAAATTATGTGAAGGAGAAATAGTTCCAAGGACCGAAACAGCATTGCCACGTTGAATAGCAATACTAATTCTTTCTATCAAAAAAGATGTAGAACGGTGATCTTTAGTTGCTTGGCATATTCTCCTTCCGAGTTCATGAACGAATGACAGACTCCGGGCCATGAACACCAAAAGTTTCAACCGCTGCTGGATGGAACAGATGGTTGTTACCAAGATTTTGGTATTTTTTTCATTTCAATTTGTCGCCAGACAATGCTGCAGTTCCAGCAGGCTTCGAACTTCCAGCTAGATGATTATTCGAAAGTATTCTTTTCAATTATCAGTTTAGAGACCCGCGATTTTTGAAGTCAAAATAATTCAGTATTTTTGAACCAATATCCCAATAGTTCATTTCATAATTTGAGGGTTTTAACTTCAATTTTATAATCAGTTTTATAGTCAGATGCATTTGGGGTGTCATTATGATAAATTAAAAATTGTAGCGATGAATTCATTGGTCCAAAATCCATATTTTACAACTAATTTTAAACAATTCTGAAATATTAAATCACTCACAAGTTCACTGAATAGTTCTGTTATGATTTTCCGATCTTACAATTTCTTGATTTTTTTATATTGAAATGACGACCAAACTTGATTTACCAAGATATTATTAATCGCATAAAGCCATGATCTTGCTGAAATCATTTCAAAAATACTTGAAAACACTTCATTAAAAAGCTTTGGAAATATAAAACTTTCCCAAGAAGATTCACTGAAGAATCTCCTAGTCACGAGAGTTTCATTCCATAGGAATGAATTTCTCCTGGGGCGGACCTGTATCAGCTAATTTATACAGCTCGCGGTAGCACATTCAAAGTACTCTCCAAACCAAAACAATTGAACAATTTCTAGAGAGAATCTTGGGTCTTTGCATATTTTACGGGGAGTTGTTTTAATTGGAATTTAGGAGTTATAATACTTCGGACTAATTGGT